CAGTGCAAGCGACGCCGGGCGCCGAGCAGCCGTGCAGGAGAGCTACTTGGGCATTTGTTGATACAACGTTGCTTGGTCGGAAAGCGCTAATTTGTTGAAACCAAAACTGTTTGTGGGAAAGGGTCGTTCTGAAAAATTTGGGGGAAAGGAGTTTTGAAATGGCTGAAGTGAAAAAATTGGGGGTTTCTTTCTTTGCAAATAGCTTTGGGTTTAGAAATTGAAGTGACTGACGGTAAAACTAAAAAAAAAATAAATAAAACGAAACATTTCAAAAACGGCGAGACAAAATCTTTAGCTTGACCCGAACGGATTTTTTTTTCCGTTGACTGGTTCACAGAAATTTCCGAGCTTGTGATTCTTGGGTCCTGATTTAGGACTGGAATTTTTTTGGCAATCTCAGTCTCCCCCCCAGGACGTGTAAACCGTTCCCCACTCGGAGCGGGAACCCTTTGAAATCTGCCTGGCTAGGGCTGAATTCTGTGCTTGGCTGGTGGCTTGGGGGAGGAGTTTTCAGGGTCACTGGATCCTCACAGGGGGAGCTGGGGTGGAGCTGGTGCAGCCTGGGGCAGAAGAGAGGCCGCCTGAGGCCTGAAGCGGCTGTCCCCTGGCAGCAGGCAGGTGGCGCTCTCGCACCATCCTCTTGCTTCCCACTGTGCTCCCGAGCTCCCCGCATTTTGCAGGGACGAGGTGGGAGATGTTCTGGCTTTTACTGGACGGGGCGAGCTTGTCCGCAGGGCTGGGAAGAAGTTTTGCAGTGAGTTTCCTTCTCTCTTGGGGACTCCCTGAGGCGGGTGCTGTGGCATTACCCGTTACAGTCTGGCTGGGCCAGCCCTTTAAACCCCGCCCCCCACCTTTTGCAGCCCTCTGCCCCCTGCAAGACGTTTCGAGGTCTGCGTTGAGCTGGGAAAAGCGACGTCTCGGTATGAGGAGGAGGCGGAGGAGCCCAGCAGGGCCGGCACTTTCATTTAGGCACCAGGATTTGGGGGGGCGGCAATTTGGCGGCAGGGGATCCTTCCGCGCTCCAGGTCTTCGGCAGCAATTTTGCGGCGGGTCCTTCACTCACTCCAGGACCCGCCGCCGAAGTGCCCCGAAGACCGGGAGTGCAGAAGGACCTCCTTGCCGCAGAATTGCCGCCGACGACCGGGAGCGTGGAAGGACCCCCGCCTCGGGCGCCAAAAACCCTGGCGCCGCTCCTGGAGCCCAGACGTCCCATCGAGCAGAGCATTGCCTGGCATCATCGGCGGCTGGCGCCGGCACACGGTTGGCAGGGAGCCAGTGGGGGAAGGACACGAAACCAACCAGTTCTGACCCAGCCGTCAGTCACCGCCATTATTCCCTCTGGTTCCGCTTGGAAATGGCCATCAGGCCTCCGGGAGGGAAATAACGGCATGTCTGGGCCCTGGGGGAAGGGAGCAGATTTTGGTGGGTCACTGCGGAGGTGAGGGAGCTGTGCCATTGGCTCCGGCTGCCCGCAAGCCCCAGATCTGGCTGAGCTGGGCTGGGCGTGGCACCGGGGCGTGGGGACAATGGGGAGCGTACGCCAGGTTAGCACTCCCCCGTCCCCAGCGCCGCCAGGGGCTGACAGCCTCAGGGCTGGCTTCATGCTACCCAGTGATTCCCCACGTGCCCTGCTGGGGTTGCTTTCTAGCCCCTTTGCACCACTGGAGGGGCACCAAGGAGCAGCCCTGTGAAGCCCGCTGGAGCTGGGGCTGCTCAGTCTCCCTGAAAATCAGCCTCCCGGGGTCTCCAGCTGGGAATCCCCCAGACTGAGACGCTGCTTCTGGCCCTTTTGGCCTACGCTTTTCCCGAGCCCAAGGTGCTAATGCTGAGCCCAGGAGTCAGAGCCGGACGCTCTCCCTTTCTGCTCTGCAGCCGTCTCTCCTTCCGGCAGCGAGCGGCTGCTAGCGAGCTCTGCCTGGCGCGCGCTGGGGCCGGAGCGGACAGCAAGGTTTTAGGGGCTGCGCTTCTGAACAGCATTTCCCAGCTGTGCTGATACCAAGATGGGTCCGATCCCCGAACGCTCCAGGGGCCCTGGGAGTGAAATGGGGGAGTTGCTGCCGGGGTGGGAGGCAGGGAACGTCATGCTCACCCGGCCCAGCAGCTGGGCAAAGGACGAACGTGTGTGCTAGTGCGGTGAGATGCCTGGACCCCACAAGGCAGGAGCACCCTCAGTGCCACACACTGCGCTGCGCCCTGCCATTGGACCCGGCTTGGGCTGTGCCATCCCTGTTCTGCCACAGACTGGGTCAGGGGCCCACACGTCTCTGCAGGGGAGAGCAGCCCAGTGACTGGCAAATGCTCCGGGAGCACTGGTCTGACAAACAGCCTCCTCCCAGCCATTGGGCTCATCGCAAGAGACGCTGCGCCCGGAGCCCATTTCCCGGGCACCCACGGGGAGCATTTCAAGAAAGCAGGCAGGAAAGGCAAAGACCCAGGGTGGGAATGGCCAATGCTACAGCCAGGCAGGGGGCTGCACCATCCTCTCTTCTCTCTAACAACCCCACCTGCCTGCGGCTCGCCTGAGAGCTGGGGCCAGGAGCCCCCGCAGCCCCGCAGGGGAAGGATCGGACATCAGCACTCGCCGCAGGACAGGAGGGGTCAGCTTTATTCATTCCTAACCTGGTGCTGAGAGGTAGCGCCCAGGGGCTTCCCCTCACGCTGGCTCTGCAGCCTGAGGCTTGTTGCCATGCAGGCCCGGCCTTAGGGCAGATGCAGGGACTAACGCTGGCCCACAGGAAATGCCTGACACACACACACACACACACACACACACACACACACACACACACACACACACACACACACACACACACACACACACACACACAGTTTTCAGCCCCCTGGGGCTCACACAGGTAGGGCGCAAAGGGGGAGGCATTCTACCCTGTAGACCAAGCTGAGGCCCTGGCTCTTTGCTGGGTCCCCCAGCCAGCCCCCATCGGCTCAGCAGGGCCGGGCTTCGCGCGAGGAGCCCTTCAGGATGCACCTCACCCTGGGACCGAGCTGGAAAATCTCCTCAGCCGGGGAGGAGGGTTGGCACCGCCAGAGCGCGCCATGTAGACGCGGCGATGCCTCGGTACCACATGGTGCTGCCCGGACACCAGGCCTCAGGTTATCAGGAGCCATGAACAGCATCTCCCCAAACAGAGACAAGGGAAAACGGTGCCTGGGACCCTGAGATGGCCTCGTGATAAAACGCCACCTGCACTGGGCTGTGGGGACACAGGGGGCCCAGCCCCCAACACCCCATCCCGGTGGGTTGTACCCGCCCTGGCACAGCCCCAAGTGTCCGGCTCCTCCCTCTCTTCCGCACTGTGTATCCGGCTCACATCTCATTGGACTGACCCAACACGGTCCCTGCCCCCGCGCGCTCACAGGCTGACCTAGCCCCCTCTAGCCGGGAGAGGGGGTCGGGTGGGGAGAAGGAGAGGCAGAGAGCAAGGGGCAGGGGCGCCGTTCTGGGGAGAGGCTTGTTTCCCCAGATGTAAATAATTTAATTTGTCCCCACCCATATCGATATACTGACCTTTCCTGATCAGGCACATCAGAGTGACAGCTGTCAATCACTCCCCCGGCCCCCTTAGCCCAGCCCTTCCCCTCTTTCTAAGGAGGTGTAGCCGTGCCCCTTCACCACGCCCAGCACGGCTGGCAGTGCCCTGCCCCAGGCCTTCCCTCGTCCAGCCCCCAGAGCGGCGCGTCTGGGAGTCAAATGCAAGGCCGTCATTGCTGGGCCTGGCTCGGAGACCCAGCATGAGATGGGGGGCGGGAGGGTGGTGGCTAATCCAGTATCCTGCGGCGGCACAACAGCCAGGGCGGCTCCGCAGAGCGCCCGGCCTGGGAAGTGAGATTGCCGCACAGCTGCCCTGCTTCTGCACTCCAGGTCGGCTGGCAGGTCCCTGTGCACTGGCCACCTGGGGGGATTAGAGCCATAAACAACAAACAGCTGCTTTCTCCAGCACAGCGTGTACCCAGGGACAGCCCGGGGTCTAAACACCGGATGGACCTGGCCGAGCAAACAAAGCCAAGGAGAGCACGAGCCGACACCTCGGCCGTGTAGCCTGGGGCCTCTAGCTGCATCTGATAGAGCGGGACGCTGCGCTCCACTGACCCCTTGGGAAATAGCGGCTCCTCGCCAGGCACACGGCCCTGGTGTGGTGAACTGTCCCGTGTAACCTCCCCCCACTTCCCTGCCCTTTGAGCAGGCGCGGGCACTGACCCCTCCCGGCTCACGGGGCATGCAGCCTGGCCCCCTGGCTAGTTCTAGACTCAGGCCGGGGTGCGGAAAGGGAGCGGGAGAAGCCGGGCCTCCCCAGGACACAGTTACCACCAGCCCCCCTCACTCCATCCATCTCCAGACCTTCTGCTCTGGGATCCCCTTCCTGAGCCTCTCAGTCATGCCTCTGCCTTCTCCTCCGACCCACACTCCTGCTGTGGGTCGATCCTCGCTGGAGGCTGACCCGGCCCAGCCCCTTGGCTGGGTGTGTGAAGCCAGGACACCAGTGGGTTAGGCTGTGGGGAGACCTGGAATATGTGCAGTTGTGTAGAGTGCGTGGGAAAAAGGGACATTCGTATTAGACAAGGGGAATTAACAGAGACATCGGGAGACAGGGACAATGCGCTGGTGTGGGCAGGGAGAGCCCGTGCCGGCCCCCAGAGCCCACTCTGCTGGGGCACATGCAAAGGGGGTAGGGTCTCTCTTCCCCTCCTCTCTCGCCTCTCTGCCCCACACCTGGAGTGGGATCAAGAACCAGGGATCAGACGGATCCAGGCTGTGTGGGGAGGAGGCGGGCGTGAGCCCTTCCTTCTGCCTGCACCCTAGTGCACAGGCGGGTTTGTACGTGAGCCCAGAGCCATGCACAATCGCATACACACCCACAGCCGTGCCCACACAGGGGTGCACACATACATACACCCATGTGCACACCCACAGCCGTGCCCACACAGGGGTGCACACATACATACACCCATGTGCACACCCACAGCCATGCCCACACAGGGGTGCACACATACATACACCCATGTGCACACCCACAGCCGTGCCCACACAGGGTCACGCCCACACAGAACGGTGGATTATGTTACAGATCCATGTTCCTGGGTTTGCAAACACCCCTCAATGTGCTCTGCCCATGGAGATGCTGGACGTGGTGCTCGGCTGGGTCTCTGGGTCCTGAGCAAGTATTGTCCGGTATTGATGGCATTCAGCACTCCCCTGGTCCATCCATCCTGGCTCAGGAGAAGACACAGTAAATGACCCTAGTGGGTGCTGGGGGCTTCACCCTCTTTTGCAGCTCTGTCGCCGGCTCCTCACACGCTGGGATCCACATGTCCCTCTTGGGAAGGAACTTGGCCAGCCAGAGGCCTCTCCAGCAGGACAGGATGGTGGAGGAGGACGAGGAGCCAGATGATGGGGCAGGACTCCTGGGGAGGGAACAAGGGTGGATCTCACTAGAGCTGCCTGACACGTGCTACGGGCAGTGTTTAGTTTTACCTCCCCCAGCTGCCCCCATTCCCAGAGCCCCTTTCCTGGGCCCAAATTGAAGGGGAGGCTGCAGGAAACCTTGGGGAAAGGTCAGCGAGTGCAGGAAAAGCCAAGGGCAAGTTCTGAGCCCAGCCTGTGTTATAGTGACTGGCAGCTTCACCCTCCCACCCAAAGCCATGGGCCAGCCGCAGGGACCAGGGGTTATGACCCCCTTATGAGACTAGCCGACCTCCCTGGCCATGCCCACAGGAGCAGAGGGGGACCCAGGCTGGGAACCCTGTCAGTAGCACAGTTCAGGGAGGGAAGAGCGATGCCATTGCATTTCCACCCCCCTGGGAAGGTGTGGGAGTGACCTGGTACCATTACCTGGCCACTGTGCCAGGAATTACGGATTGACTGAACTTTGCTTCTTTTTCTGTCCGCGATGCAGACCCTGGGCCTCCGTTGTTCTAAATGAGCCGGGACTTTCCAGCTCTACGCATCCCGTGCAAAGGGTGCGGGGTGCAGATTCTGTATTTGAACGCCAACATTTGCCCTGGGTTGGCTAGCAATGGGCTGTCACAGGGTGCTGTTTCTGTTCCCTGACTGGGTGACGGAGGTTTCCAAACAACCCCTGGTGAATACCTGGCTGGAATCAAATACGCAACCTGGAAGTTCCTCACAGCTGAGTGTGTCAGGTGCGTTTCACAGGGATTCCTGCTAGCCGAGCTCCAGCCTGGGTTATGCCCAAGGCAGGTTTCAGATTGGTGTGAGTGCACGCTGGCACTTCCCTTCACTGCCCACGCAGCTCGGAGAGGAAATCTGTGGCCAAGTGAGGAGCTCAGATCTGCTCACTCTCAGGTCTAAGATCTCCTGCCTTTCAGCGTGATGCAGTCATGTAGGGTCCAGGTCTCCGGAGGGACGGCTGGTAGTCTGGCCCCACCCCCAGAAGTCAGACCTGGTACAGCAGGCACTTGCTACACAGAGGGGGAAAGTAGAAACCAGCCAACTTTCAGAGGCTCAGCTGCTTTCCATGTACTGCCGGGAGAAATCTACTGGGAATTGAGTCTAGAATGTTTCAAAGAGTAGATCGGAATGTGCACTTACGGGATAGGAGGGGGATGCTCTGGGAGACCCAGCCTCAGGGCTGAGCATATTACGCCCTGCGGTTCCCCCCGTGGCCCAGGGCTGTGCAAACACCTCCCTGGCAGCATTTGGCCTGGGGCTTTGTCAGGGAGAGGATTCCACCTGCTTTGCCTCTGCATTTCCCAGCTGTGCGCCACATTGCACTGAGCAGCTCAGCAGGGGTAGTGTCACCTAGTGGTAAGAGCCAAGGATGGGACCTCGTCCTCGCTCTGCCATTGATTCAGTGTACGGCCTTGAGAAAAGTCACTTAACTGCTCCGTGCCTCGGTTTCCCCTCTGTAAAATGGTGATAATTTATGACCCTTTCAGCGCTATCCTCCCTCAAAAGGCCTTAGAGAGATGCCAAATACCACCCTCCCCCTTTGCAGCCTGTGCTTTGCACTAGAGCATAGACCGGGGGGAGAGACGGAGCGGGTTTGTTCCACCCACTCAGGCCATGATCAATGGTCTCCTCCTCCCAGGCTGGACACTTTGGGGAATGTCTCCTGCAGCTAGTGCCAATGTCCTCTACCATGCGTCTGCCAGGCTCTGGGGGAAAGGCTGCACCGGGAAGGGAGAGAGAGAACGGAAGGCTGGGAAGGAGGAAGCCAGCAATGAAAGATGGACAGAAAATTGCTGGAAATTTATTTTGGGTGAGATCCAGCAAAGCCCACAGGCAGAAGCTGCCGAGCTGGAATCGGCTTCCTGCCAAAGACGTCTCCTGCATTACTGAGCTTTGAGCTGCTTGCTGGGTTCGGGGTGACTCCCTCGCTCCTGTTGCTCCCACAGCACTCAATGCTGTCCTCCCTCTCTAGGCATGAGGGCTTTCCAGCCGTCAGCAGAGTGCCCCACTCCTGAGGGAGGTGGGAATCGGCTGGAGGGGCTGAGCAGAGCCCTCAGGAAGTACCCAGCTGGAGCGCGGGGTTGGCGACTTGCAGCACTGGGACACCGCTGTGCATGCTAAAGCGACACTCAGCTCACCGTCCCCGCACCTCCAGCAGCGCTTCCCTGATTCCCCAGGCGCCCTGCTGACTAGTGGGCCTGGCGCCAAAGCCCGAAGAGCCTCGGGCACGGCCCTTTCCCAGCCTGCTCGGCTTGCGAGCGCAGGGAGGGAGCCCGTCCCCCGGCCCAGTGTGACCATGTCCAAGGTGACAAGGGCCTGGCGTGGAGCCAGCAGAACAACTGTATCTAGCTCTCAGCAGCCAGGTGACCCCGCTGTTTGCCCTGCCACACAGTCAATAAAGCAGAGGCCGCAGTACCAGCAGGCGGGACGTGTGGGCCAGCGGCAGAGGTGACTGTGACTGGAGCTGCCTAAGCGCCGCCCAGCTTTTCCAACGGAGGGTAAATCAAGTCTCCTGCTGCAAATGTCTAGTTTTCCATGCGTGACTCAGACCCGCTTTCCGTGGAGTTTAGAGGCACCGGCACACACAGAACGGCAGGGGCCCGCTGTAAAACCCTCACCCTACGGCAGGGGAGCCCGGGAGAAGGGCTAACCATGGCACGCTGCGCTGGCGCTGTTCCTAAAACAATTACGCCAGAGCTTTTGGTATCTTTATGTAGCTGAAATGGGCTTGGACAAAGGCAATCATCCCAAGTGCTCCAGCAATGTGATTTCCTAATGCAGCCACCTCTGGGGTAGACGGCGCCAGTTCCCATTATCGGTTTCCACTGGCAGTAGCCCAGGAAATGAGGCAGAATAGCCTGGTGCAGGCCAATTGGAAAGTCAGCGGAAAGTAATCAACCTGCTGGAAATTGCTGAAGACTCTTCCAGCGCAGGCGGGAGTTACAGGTTTGTCAGGGGCTGAGAGGGACAGCTGCGCCCTGGTGTTGTTTGCAAATAGATCCGCTCCAGGCCTGTTACCGCGAGATGGAAGGACGTGAAACTCATTCATCGGGTCTGTCAATCAGTTCCACCCAGTGCCGATCTACACTAACCCGTCCACCAAGACGTGCCAGGAATAGAACTCCGGAAGGAAGGGACCTGTGCTCTCATATGCAGAGGCCGAGCCCGCCAGCCCCAGACTCAGCATGGCTTAGCGCCTCTCTCTCTCGTGGGATTTCCTTTCCTGCTCTCTTAGGCCTGGGGCTGAGCCTGGCTCGACTAGCCCCTCGCACGCAGAGCAGTGGGGTCTGCTGGGGCGGTGGGGGGAAGGTAGGAAATGCAACCGAAAGCATATGGGAGAGAGCATTCGCCCTTCCCAAGCTCCCCCACTGCACATCGCTGTCCAGGTACTCACCCAGTGGCCCCCACCTCTGCCTTTAGGCTTCCCCCAGTGGCAAATCTAACTGGGACCTTCTAACGTTTGTCCTCGTTGGCTTTTGGAGGAGGGCAGCCAGGAATCAAAGGCTGAGAGCGCGAGTCCCAGAGTGGAGCCTACTGCGGCGGGCTGGCCAAGACTCAGGGAAAAACTCCAGAGCTGGAGAGGATTAAATTAAAGACAAAAAATAAAAATCACTCAGTCACTCGGTGACACTCTCTGTTCCGCTGAGGCTCCGGGTTGCTGCCTGTTACTCTCACGTGTCTCCGCTGCACCAGACCCGGCAGTGCCCCCGGCGTTCTGGTTTGCATCACCTGGCGCCGGGAGAGAGCGCAGCAGGCTGGAGAGGAACCAGGATGACAGTGACCGCTGGGCAACTCAAACCAGCCCCATTTGTGGCCGGTAATGTGGTTATTTCCCCAGGGAAGGAGCATTTCTCTTCCCACGACTCCCAGAGTGCCCCTGAGCATGCTGGCCTGGCCTGGCCTGCCGCAGGGAGGGAGCAGGGGACTGCCTGTGTGTTGGCGGGTGTGGGAGGGTGGCGTTTGCTACCTAGCCTCTCTCTGTTCCGGATTGACAGTCAAACCTTTTATACATTTCTAACCTCGCTAAGATCACTGGGGACGTCCCACGAGCGACAGAAATGTCCAGTCCTTGTCCGAAGCTGCTAAGTTTCTGCCTCGCTGGATTCTAGTGGCCGTGAGTTCCAAGTGAATTCTGAGCTGTGCAAACGGAGCAGTGTTTCCTCTGATCCGTTTTAAACAAGCTCCCTTGCCTTTCCCCAGGGTTTTGAGAGAGGGGGAGGGGGAGGTCCCTCCTCTGTCCCATTCATCACTTTCCATATCTGAGCCGTGTCCCCTTTTAGTTAACTCCTCTCTAGCCAGCCCCAATCTTTTCCAGCTCTTCTCCTGGAAATCTCCCCAGGATTCTAATGATGTGTATCACCCCCTTGTCTCTCTGTTTGCAGATGGAGCGGCCAGGTTTGAACTCCCTGTCCCAGGCGGTGGCATCCCCTTGAACGACATCGTTGTCGGAGAACATTGGCAGTATTTGCGGCTCCAGTCTCTAGCGCTGCCCTACCGGAGGATAATGGGCCGGATTTCCAGCAGTGCCCAGCACGCACAATTGAGACTGATTTTCCAGAGAGCCGATCCCACTCGGGCACTTCACTGAACACAAAGAACTCGGCCCCCGCAGCTCCGATCAGCTGAGCTCCTTTGAAAACCTGGCCCCTTACTTAGGTGCAGCTGGGAGCTGTGGGGGGCTGACCCCTTGGGAAAAGGGGTCTCTGCTATCCAGGGAGCTTCTGAGTTTAACAGAATATCACGGACGTTGGTCTCTCCTGCTAACGCTCGGCTGTGACAAAGAATCCAGCAGACTGCAGGGGAGTGCGCTATGGACAGGGCAAAATGAAACCATCTAGTTTCTAATTCAGCTTTGGACGAGCCTGTTTTCTGTATTTCAGTGTTCAGATAAATAGGACGATGAGCTCCTTAGTCCGGCCCCAGTTAGAATCGACCAGCTGCGGCTCTAAGATCAGGGGAAAGTGGCCCCTTTGCTAACACCGCACTCTGCTCT